ATGGGGTCCAATAGGCCTGATGCCGATTCGGAGTCGCGGAGAACTTAACGGGTTACCGGGGCTCCGGCTCGAAGTGCAGGAGTAGGAACGGAGTGGCTTTTACTCAGTAAGTGTCTGACACTCTCTTTCTCCTCACCCAGGCGGGAGAAGTCCCTCGATGATTTTCCCCCCTTAAAAAAAACTGTTGAATATTCCGCGTCTCTGTATGCAATGGGGATTATAACCCATATATACTGATTTTAGACCTAGTTTTATTAACGCTTATGACTCACATGACTGACGAATGCAAAACGGCTTTAGAACCGATTGTCTAATAACGAAAGGAAGTTGGTATTTTGCTTGTTAAAACCCAAATGATTAATGTTCATCAATTGTAGTGACTTCATTATGTATCCATCTAGAAATATGGCGCACTAGCTACGCGCGGGTTCACTCGCTGCTCAGATACTATTGGTCATAGCGTAATGTTTTATATGCTAAAATACAACATATAAATAACATCACGCCTGTCATTCCCGAAGGGGTAGACAGAGGTGCATTTTACCTACGGCACTTAATGCCACCGTCGAACAAAATTTTGTATAAATAATAAAATAAATAATAAAATAAGCAATGATTATCATGATATTTATCATTTAGTTACTAATTTATTTTACTCGTTGGCCGTTGGCCGAGTGGTCGTAAGTGCGACTACCGGGCAAGGGGCTCGGTTTCGATTCCCGGGTGGGGTAAAGTACTACTGGACTTTTAAAAAAAATCTCAGCAGTATTATGGTATATAGCAATAGGCTCAGCCCTTATTACATGGGACTCGGAACACAAATCGTGAAAAGTGGGTGTTACCTCTTTGTGCACCCTCTGCCTACCCCTTCAGGGATAAAAGGCGTGGTGTTATGTTATGTTCGTAAATAATTTAATGTTTTTGGGTAGTTAATAAACCAAGGAAGTTTTTCGAATAGTTTGTACGCATCATATAATAGGATTTTTTTGTAATAAATGCAGTTTTATATTGACCAAATTAGTGACTCGAAAGTCGAAACAAAATTTGATACTAATTTACTTGCTATTTTAAAACGAATGATATTTCTGCGAGTATTAGTATTGATAAATGTTTATTGATATATTGGTAACTAATAGAAACTGAAACCACTGAAATTAAGCCAGAACTTTTTTATTTATTGATGTTTTTGTAGTTAGTTTGGGATTTTTTGACCAAAACCAAATGTGTTGAATATCTCAGAAACTAGCCACTTTGAGACCATAGACCTCAGGGCGAATTTTGTAGCAAATTGGTTGTATTATCACATCATTAGAGGAATACGTCGAGTTTAAGTCGCTGTGTATAATATTAAGAAACAAATTTGGTAGGGATAGAAAAAATGTGCTAACGCAACTAGGGTTGCCACCTTTTTTGGTATTGAAAGTATATTGACCATTAATTAATAATTAACTCGTCGAGTACCGTCATTATAGACACAATTATAGAACAATAGGTTGCGGTCACCGGTGGCCGCTTGGTGTTTGACAGTTTAATTGACAATTAATAAATTAATAGGTAAGAAAAAAGGACATAGTACAAAAATAAAGTGCAATTTATACTTATTTAGTTATTATATTTAACAATACATTTTTATTGTTTTTTGCAGTTTGTATTAAATTAGTATCTTTACTAAACAATTGCATTGGAATACTAAACATTAAACGATTGCTTTTTTACTAGAAATTGTGTAAGTGGCGTTGACAAGTGGCTAAATTGATTTAACATAAATCGATAAACATGGATATCGAATCGATAAGTTTACGGAAAAAGACATGACTTTATAGAAATGAAGTTTGCAAAAATAAAGTATTTTCGTGTACTTTATTATTCTTATAAAGTATAGAGTACAATTACCTTAAATAACGTAAAATACTTTATTATAAAGTACGGATGGCAACCCTAAAAGCAACACTCTTCCCACGAAATACTCATAAATAAATTAGTAGATAGTCTAGTTAAATACTTATTTAATCTATACTAATATTATAAAGCTGGAGAGTTTGTTTTAAATTTATTTGTTTGAACGCGCTAATCTCCGAAACTACTGGTTCGCTTTGGAATTTTTTTTCTGTGTTGGATAGCCCATTTATCGAGGGAGACTATAGGCTATAAAATATTACGCTACGATTAATAGGCGCCGAGCTGAGCGAGTGAAACCGCGTGGAAGTAGCTAGTTACTTATATTTGTTACACTTCCTAAGCTGAACAGCTGAATATAAAATTGGCACAGTAATAAAGATAACCCACCTACCTACTTATGCAAAACTACTTACGTGTCGTTAGTAATAAATTAAAATAGACAATTTAAACTCGAATGGTTCTGTAACTTTCATCCGTATATTTAAATTGCTGGCGTCTAATTGCTGGCTTGTTCGTTCGCGAGTCTCTGAATAGGCCAGGGTGCTTACTCTTGAAACCAATCTCAATGTCAATACCAATACCCAATAGGGCTGATGCAGATATGGAGCTGTGGAGAACCTAACGGGTTACCGGGGCTCCGGCTCGATGTGCAGGAGTAGGAACAGGGTGGTTTTTAGTTAGTAAGAGTCTGACACTCCCTATTTCTCACCCTGGTGGGAGATTTTCCGATGATTTTCCGATTTGACGTCGATGGTAGATGGGTTGGAGATCGCAGAGTAATTTAAAAAAAAGAAACGTTGCCCCACACTAGGAATTTCTCGTGTGTCGTGAGTTGGTAAACGCTTACAAGCATACAAGTTCACATACACATGACACACAGACCTGGAACCACAATCTGTGGATCACACAAAGAATTGTGCCGTGCGGGAATCGAACCCGCGACACGGTGCGTGGTAGCCAGTTGCCCATCCCAGCCACCGCACCAACCGTGCAGTCAAATAAGCTGGTTTATCAGAAGCGCTGTTACCGGTCTCTGTCAAATGTGTAGTCCCTTATTGTAGTAGAGATGGTAGTGATAAAATTATTTAACCGTTTCTTTGAAACGGCACACGGAATCCTAAAATAGCGATTACAAAATTATATTTGCAGCCTTTAACACTCTTATGTAAAGTGTGCAGAACTCAAAATCCGCTGTCTAAGTTGTGAGCCTTTAATTTTACATAACATCACGCCTTTTATCCCCGAAGGGGTAGGCAGAGGTGCACATTATACCACTGTACAATATAACACATACTTTTCAATATTTATGTTATGACTCCCATGTAATAGGGGGTGAGCCTATTGCCATATACCGGGCACAATTCCAGACTCCGTGCTACTACTGAGAATTTTTTAAAAACCCAGTAATACTTTGCCCGACCCAGGAATCGAACCCGAGACCCCCTGCCCGGCAGTCGCACTTGCGACCACTCTGCCAGCGAGGCAGTCGCTCTCTAATTTTATCATTAAGTAATAAAGTTTTTAATGAAGTAATAGTCCGCTATTTTGTCGTAAACGTTTTTAAAATATACTGGGCGTACTGTCGTCAAATTGTTAGCTGTAGCTGTTGTTTTATCTATCATTTGAACGTCACGGAGTGTGTGCGTTCATAGTTACTGCTCAGAAGCTGTAACAAGACTTAAACAAAAAAGAAAGTAAAGGTAAGTTAGAGTTTAATGAAATTAGGGTTTTTTTTTAACGGGGGAAAATCATCGTATTACTGCTCCCGCCTGGGTGAGGCGGGAGAGAGTGTCAGACTCTTACTGATTAAAAACCACCCCGTTTCTTCTCCTGCACGTCGAGCCGGAGCCCCGGTTACCCGTTAGCGTTAGGTTTCCCATAGGTAAAATTTTCTATAGGCCTAAATTTCAATTAATGTGATATCTCTCTCTCTACATCTTTATACACAGAAATAAATCTTTTTCCCTTGGTCACGGTATCACGCGTGATTGGCTGGACCGATTTCACTAATTCTTTTTGTTGTTATTATTATTAGGAGAAGGTTCTCAAGACAGAAAAAATCCTGAAAATCCTACGGCAACGGGAGAAAACGGGATTGTGTGGACGAAGTCGCGGACAGAAGCTAGTAATTAATAAGCAAAACGAAAATAGGTCACGTCTTACACACCTAAACTCGCGAAAAAACAGTGGTTACAGAATTTTAGAGCGCCACCTACCTCGATCTTTACATACTTTTATCTTATATCCCATTCACATCATTCAAAAGTCGTACGAGATAAAATTTTCATTACTTATTTTGTACTTAGAATTAATTTTTTATTTCATAAAAATGCTAAGATTGAAATTCAATCTTATTTTTATTTTATTTTATTTATTTATTAATAATAAAGGTACATGGTATGTCTTATAATCTAACGCCATGTCCAACAAAACTATATGTAAATAGTTTGACTGTTGGATCTTCTATATTTAAATTACTATTTAGTAGGTAATTGTAGTTTACTATGATAATGGTTATGGTTATGATTAATTTTAAATACATGTGGTTATGGTAGTGTGCTAAACAGATATTTTTTTAATTTAGTCTTAAATTTATTTTTATTTTTCTCTTCCCATAACATAGTCGAGACTGCCAGTCCTTGTTTTTGACACATTCATAATGATAAAGATCCGAAACATTCGACTTGAAACGCACCACATCTTTGACATTTACAGTGTTGCTACGTTATTATTTTGCCTATATTTATGGGTGAAGTGGAAAATAAATGCTTATAAGCTTCTTATCAGAATCATTCTAATAGTAGGTACTACACCTATTATTGTGTTATATTTTATATAAATACTCAACCCAAATTTATCAATGTTGAATTTTTATCCAAATTTGTATCAGCTAGTATTTTTACAGAAAGTTTTGGAAAATAACGTAATAGTGATATAAACATATTTCGGATGGATTAATAAATCAAAGATAAAATATTAATGTTTCACAATACAAAGTTATGATACCTAATAATATCTAACTAAACAAAAGGAAGTTTCCCTATTACGTATTTGAGTTCATATTTGGCAAATTAAATTTCCAGTGCTGGCAGTCCCAACACCTTGTTGAATGAAATGTCAAATTGTGATTTTGCTTGAATTGGCGATAATTTAAAAATACACATTGCTCGTTATCTCTTTAGATAAGAAAACCCCTAGACAAGTGGAGGATTATATAAGATTTGCTGGATTATATTATTTATTGAGCTGTTGTGTTTACACGTGGACGTTAAGACATTTATTATAACCTACAGTTCTCATATTTTATTATTGTGTTGTTGATTCGTATCAAAGGTGCATTGTGTGAGATTGAGCGAAACTTTTGAACAGAGCCAACTTTTTAGAGGTCAAAATAATCGACTAAAGAATTGTTTTTTTTTAAACGTTTCCGGTTAATTGATGTGAGTACCTTATCTCTTTTTTTTAATGTTTGTTTTGTTTATTAAGGAATAATTTTATTATGCCTATTTTTTAGTTGTTGTCTAAAAATCCAAACATTTCAATGATAAGTGTAATTAATAATTATAAATAAATAATAAACTTGGCTCATTAGATTGATAGATTATTTACATTTTAAATCAAAACAATTAATTAGAGGCTATCATTTTAACTTTGTTTAATAGTTACGTAGGTACGCCCTGATACGGCGCAAAATTTCCACGATTAAGCATAATTGAACAAATATTTAGTCAGCTTTATTACCTAAGAATGAAATTAGATTATTATAGACATTGTGAAATAAATTAGTACCAGTTGAATCATAATTGTGAAGAAATTACTCAAATTAAACTTCTATTTGAATTCCTAAATAATATCATGCATTATGTTTCCTGTGATACCACAGCTTGGCTCTGTAGGAGTAGGAACAGGTTGATGTTCAATCATTAAGAGTCGTCACACTCTCTGGCCTTACTTAAGGAGGGAGAATGCATGATTTTCCTCCTGCAAACATAAATATATGGATCAAGCTTATTGAGCACTTATTATCAACTAGTTTCTGCTAGCGGCTTTGCCCCATTACCAGGATTTAAAGTGCCCCCTTCATTATTCTATACTATAATCTACCTCTGTACCGAATTTCATCTCTATTTGACCAGTAGTTTTGATATGAAAGAGTAAGAAGAAAAAACGAAAAACCATTTATTACGCCACAAGACAACAAGAATGCTAATACGCACAAAAAGCCCATGGTGCGTCGCAGCGCAAAAGCCTGGAGCCCAGCTTAATACTAACATACATAATGTAACGTACAACATATGATACAAACAAACAAACATACATTTAGCCATACCATACATCTTTACAGACTTTTTCAAATATATGCTCCCGTGCGGTTCCGCCCACTGCTCGGCTTCTACTGATTATAGTAGGATGTTTTACATAATCTTCCTCGTCTGTATCCTTCCTCGATAAATGCACTACTGAACAACAATTAATAATTCATTTTAAACTACTTCAATAAAAGGAGGAGGTTCTCAATCAATTTTGTTTTTAAAAGTTCCCCTCGGTTTGTCTGGTCTTCCATCATCAGATCCTCATTTCATGATGATTATCATGGGACCATTCTGGGACTGTCTCCTTTCCAACAAATAAAGAATTGTCAAAATCGGTTCATAAACAACGGAGATATCGGTGAACAAACATAAAAAAAATATAAAAAAGCATTTACAACATGTAACTTAAACAACGCACATCCTGAAAATAGTTTGTTCAGAATCGTTAACTGAATCGATTTATATCATTTTTAGATAGGTAATTTTTTATCCCAAAAATAATTAAAACTACGGAAATTGTTATCATATTAACCCTGTATTGTTAAAACAAATTGAAATGGACCGTAAGTCAAAGCAATAACACTTTTAAAATCGCAGTTTTATTTGTATTCATACAAATTCTATCATTCAATACAAAATAAAGAAAAATAAACCTTATGACAAGACCAGTAAGGATGCATATACATGTTAAATTAAAAATTTAGTGTATGAATTATGATTATAACATTATGTTACATGTTGTATACGGTTGAATTGAGAACCTCCTCCTTTTTTTGAAGTTGTTTTAAAAGAATTACATATTAAAGACAGACCAGTAGTTCCAAAGATTAGCACATATAAACAAATAAACTCTTCAGCTTTATAATACAGGGTGTAAATGGAACGCCCCGGAAACGGCGACAAAAATATACCGTTTTTACAAATTTGTTTACAAAAAAAAGTTACTGTTTGCCGGGGCACCGGCTCGAAGTGCAGGAGTAGGAATGGGGTGGTTTTTAGTCAGTAAGAGTCTGACACCCCCTCCCGCCTCACCCAGGCGGGAGAAGGGAGAAGACATTCAATGGTTTTTCCCACTTATAAAAAAAGACCACATTGACTTGTTTAACATTGCACAATATTGTTGCTGTCATCGGGAAAAACATCTTTGATAAAATTAAATCTTATGTATTCAGTAAGTATTTATAAAAACTAACTAATCTAATGATAATATGATAAGAGATATAAATAAATAGCGCACCTGTATTTTTACATGAAGTCAATATCAAAATTAGAGCTACGTTTTTTATGGGACTTTTTTTTAAAACATCGAAAGTCTTCTCCCGCCTGGGTGAGGCGGGCCGCGGGAGGGAGTGTCAGACTCTTTCTGACTAAAACCACCCCGTTCCTACTCCTGCACTTCGAGCCGGAGCCCCGGCAACCCGTTATGTTTTGTTTCGTACAAGGCTTCAGGTGATCCGTACCGAATGCTCGTTTGCCGGCCTATCGGGTAACCGGGGCTCCGGCTCGACGTGCAGGAGAAGGAACGGGGTGGTTTTTAGTCAGTAAGAGTCTGACACTCCCTCCCGCCTCACCCAGGCGGGAGCAGTCATTTGATGATTTTCCCCCTTTAAAAAAAAGAGGCGTTACAAGTGCGTTGCCCGCTTTTGTGGATCAGTAATTTGAGGGTTGTTGGGGATTGGGGGCAGTTAGGCGTCCGGTAAACTCAGTCACACGGCAAAACACTATGTCGCTATGTTTGTTTATATGTATCTATAATGTACCTAAGACTATGTAGCTGAATTTTTATTAGTCTTGCATTTTCTCACACAAATGCAAATGTGATTTGATTTCCAGGACCAGCAAAGTATTATTAAACATGAGAATCATGAGATACCTACATAACATAATCGATCAAAAATATACATTGCAATTATTGAGAATACTTGTTTCTTTCTAATCTTTTCTAAACTAAACCAGTTGGCTCAGAATTTATGATTCCATAATACTGAAGCACTATAACGTAAACAAAAATTCAGACGAAAGAATAAAGAATTGTAGCAACAAGAGTCAAAAGATTGGCACATGGTGTACTTTTTCGTGGATGACACACAAGTCATTGTAATTTAAAAACTATCTGACATGAAATTTTTTTATATTTTTCTAATAAATGTTGGAACCTTGCCGATCGCCTGGTGCCATTTGATCGTCGACTTCAGGGACAGCCTGTATGTTTTCCACAACTACTTACTCCCACGCTGTTTCATCCACTGCTAAGCTCCTACTGATTTTATCGTGATGTTATATTAACAATAGCCTTCTTCAATAAATTGACTATTCAACACAATAAGAATTATTCAATTCGACCCAGTACTTTCAGAGATTAGGGCGTTCTAAAACCTATCTTCAAAAATTCACGTCCTAACGACCGACTTAAGTCGTTACCAATGTCGAGACTACCAAGTACATACTAGCCCGTGTCATCGTCCGTCTGATAGGCATTAAGTGATATTTTATTGGTCGATATGCAACTGCAATTGTATGCATTTAACTCTACATTACATCATGATTTATTTTATGAAGTGCTTGAGGTCTACGCAGTAATTGTCCTACAAAATCCTACGTTTGTTGACTATAAACTCAACTATGGTTAGTTACGAATTAGACTGACACTTTGAACTAGATGTTGCATTGTTCTCACACAATCGAACCAACAAAACTATGTAACTTAAGAATTGTATTGTGAACCGGATTGAGAAAGAGTACCTAACTTAACCTTTTGAACGCCAGAGCAAAAACACATGAACCTGCCTTCGACACCAAGCCACAAATTCCACGCAAATTTCTACGAAAGAAATAGGAATTATTGGAATCCCTATTGTATCAACAATAGGGATTCCAATAATTCGTGTTTCTGGTTCCGCTTTTTCTGTCATGTATTTGTGTCGTTGACGTCCAGGGACAGTTTTCGCTTGTCGCGTATATGTGACATTGGCGGTCAAAAGGTTAAGGAGTTCCTTGCTCGTTCTTCTCCATAGGAATCTATACATTGGAATGAACAATAAGCTTTACTTTAAATTTTTTTTGTAAAGTGCCTTCTTGGGGTCTTCAATCCAATTCCGACCGATCGACATTGATATTGTGATTGTGTCGTACTCTTGACTTGCCACACTAGCGCCCATTGCATCCGTATTGCGTGGATATTGAATGAACTAAATGGGCGTCTTAAACTCTGACCATCACGACATACATTTTTTTTAAACGTTGCATCACACTAGGATCGTCTACTGTGTCGTGGGTACGTTTACAAACATACAAGTTCACATACACATGAAACACAGACCCGGAACAACAATCTGTGGATCACACAAAGAGTTGTTCCGTGCGGGAATCGAACCCGCGACACGTTGCGCGGCAGCCGGTTGCCCAACTCAAACTCAAACACAAAACCATTTATTTCAATTAAACCATAATTTGGTACTTTTGAAACGTCAACAAATATGAAATATATAATAGTCTGTCAGTCTGTCCATCAATGAAGCTAGGCGCTCGTTCTAAAATGTCGATTCGAATGGAGAAGAACGAGCAAGAAACTCCGTTCGTTACTCTTTTAAAAGAAAGTCTGTCTACCACCGCACAAACCTGTAGTCTACATTATTTGACCTTTTTTTTAAGGGGGGAAAGTCATCGAATGACTGCTCCCGCCTGAGGGATACGGGAGGAAACATTATTTGACCTAGGCAAGCTGATAAGTTGCTTTGCCTTTAAAATAAACACA